GTCTTTGCATACATTTACATGTAAGGCTGAGCTGTGTTGTGACACAGAGACTGTTGGTTACAGTGGTGGGCGTGGCAGAAATAAGAATAAGAGAGACCTGAAAGAGGCGTTTATGACAAGGCCACCTGACTAATAGCTGGTTGGGTATCACCTTGTTGCTGCACAATATTATTTTATTTCTGTCAAACTGTGCTGTCTTTGGTATCACTTGTAGATTCAACAGAAGTAATGGGAACAAATGATGTGTTTTATGACAGGCTGCTAGTGACAAAGTGCCTAAAAATGTAATTTAAGCATTTAATTTGAAAGAAATCTAAAGAATAACTGAAAATGATCAGGTACAGAGAGTGGACAGAAAAAGCCGCCAGCCCTGATTTATGCCCAAAAGCAGCCTCCGAGTGCAGGTTTTTATAATAACTCTATTGTCAAAGTTACCTTGAAAATATGGCATCAATTTTGTCGTTATTTTAAGTTGACCTTTTTTTCCCTTCAGTCACCCGTTTTGAAAAATCCCTCTTTTCAGCCTTCGTTAGTTGATGGTGCTTTTTATTTGTGGGCCTCCTTGGGTATCAGGTCTTTTTCTGATCTGTATATTCAGAATACATTTGCCTCCTTTGAACAGCTCTCATTGAAATTTGGCCTTCCAAAAAGTCACTTACAAATCCAGAGTTTTGTTAAGGAGAAATCTTCCCAGTTCCCATCTAGACCTCCTTGTCATGACTTTGATAACCTTCTATCGCCTCCCCCTTCATCACAGGGCCTGATCTCATCTGTATGGGAGAATATGTTCCTTTGGCAACTCCTCAACCTCGGCTATTAAAATGGCATGAGAGCAGGATTTGGGGTGTGTGATTCAGGATGACTCTTGGGATAAAATTCTTTACCGGGTCCATGGCTCCTCATTATGTGCCAAACACGGGTTGATTCAATGTAAGATTTTGCACCGCGTACACTGGACTAAAGCCAGACTAGACTAGACTAGCTCAAATATACCCCAATCTTAGCCCTGATTGCGACCGTTGTCATCAAACACCTGCCTCTCTAATACATATGTTTTGGTCACGTCCATCCCTCAAACAATACTGGATTAATATTTTTCTGACTTTATCAAAGATCATCCAGTTAACCCTCCAACCTGTGCCCTTAACTGCTTTGTTTGGGGTTCTTCCTGATACGGTTGTCTTGCTGACGGGATCTGGTAGCATTTCTCACCTTATTGGCAAGACGCAGAATATTGTTATGTTGGAAGTCCCCTTCTCCCCCATCCTGGGAAATCTGGATCAGAGACGCTTTGC